CATTACAGGTGATAAAATGACTATAATACAACAAGATAGAAAACATTATTATTATAACATTACAGTGATAAAATGACTATAATACAACAAGATAGAAAACATTATTATTAAAACATTACAGTGATAAAATGACTATAATACAACAAGATAGAAAACATTATTATTAAAACATTACAGTGATAAAATGACTATAATACAACAAGATAGAAAACATTATTATTATAACATTACAGTGATAAAATGACTATAATACAACAAGATAGAAAACATTATTATTATAACATTACAGTGATAAAATGACTATAATACAACAAGATAGAAAACATTATTATTATAACATTACAGTGATAAAATGACTATAATACAACAAGATAGAAAACATTATTATTATAACATTACAGTGATAAAATGACTATAATACAACAAGATAGAAAACATTATTATTATAACATTACAGTGATAAAATGACTATAATACAACAAGATAGAAAACATTATTATTATAACATTACAGTGATAAAATGACTATAATACAACAAGATAGAAAACATTATTATTATAACATTACAGTGATAAAATGACTATAATACAACAAGATAGAAAACATTATTATTATAACATTACAGTGATAAAATGACTATAATACAACAAGATAGAAAACATTATTATTATTACATTACAGTGATAAAATGACTATAATACAACAAGATAGAAAACATTATTACTACATTACAGTTATAAAATGACTATAATACAACAAGATAGAAAACATTATTATTACATTACAGTGATAAAATGACTATAATACAACAAGATAGAAAACATTATTATTATAACATTACAGTGATAAAATGACTATAATACAAGATAGAAAACATTATTATTATAACATTACAGTGATAAAATGACTATAATACAACAAGATAGAAAACATTATTATTATAACATTACAGTGATAAAATGACTATAATACAACAAGATAGAAAACATTATTATTATAACATTACAGTGATAAAATGACTATAATACAACAAGATAGAAAACATTATTATTATTACATTACAGTGATAAAATGACTATAATACAACAAGATAGAAAACATTATTATTACATTACAGTGATAAAATGACTATAATACAACAAGATAGAAAACATTATTATTACATTACAGTGATAAAATGACTATAATACAACAAGA